CTAAAAATGGATGGCTTTTCAGCAGTTCTAGATTTTTTTCTTCTACATCTTGCATAAAAACGGTAGATTTAAAACATTCCATTCTTATTATCCACACAAAAAATGCGTAAATGAATAATTTTCATTTTCAAATATATAATTTTCTTATGACAGGATGATAGTTAAAATTGAAGAAATAAAAGCGGTTTTGGGGTATAGGGTAAGAAAGGATTTCTTGGGCACGGGGTAATAAAAAAAACATAACTTCTTGATTTTGCTCAAGCTAGGCTTAAGCAGTTTTCACAATACAGTTACATTTTTTTTCTCTTCTGTATATAAAGAAAAGAAACATTCATTACACACACACACAAACAAGAAAAAAAAAAAAATTCTTTAAAAATAAAAATCATTCATTTTTTTTTTTAAACCTGATCTCAAAAACTAAGAAAGAAACTTTTCCTGTTACTATGTGTTTAAAAAGATTTCGGGGGGGAACCCCCCCCCCAAAAAACGAGAATTTTGAAAATCTTGTAGCAAAAAGAATAAACAAAGAAGGGGACAATTAGGAAAAACAAATTAATTATATGTAAATAGGAATCCATCCTTTAAATCTGTTCTATCAAACAAAACCAGTAGTTTTATTTAGAAGGGGATATTTAAGGCTGGGGAGCCATGGCCACATTGAACAATTTGTAGTGCAATATTCATTAATTAAACATTAAATACTAAGGCATCTGAAAAGGTTATAGACTTTTGTTGACCTCGATTTTGAGTAGTTTTGAAAGCAAAGATGATTTTCCCTTTGTTCTTTGCTTCCACTTATTCTCTTTGTCGGCAAAAAATTTAAAAGATTTAAAACATGTTCATTGCCAACCCAAAATCAGCATAGAGTCATGAGGGGCTACGATTAATTTTTTTTTTTTTTTTTAAATTCTAAAAAACATTTTTTAAAAGAATATGTTAGGTATAAATAAAAGATTTTAGTTCTAATATTTTATGAGAAAATGAATGCCAGAATATTCTTTCCTAACCTCAGAAGCCATGTCATCAACTCATGGTGTGTTTCATTGAATAATATAGACATATTGTGTCTACTTATTTTTATATTGATCCTTTCCGGTTGTCTTATCAATTTCTTGATGTTAAGATGAAATTCATCAAGGAAGGCACAATAGTCTTTTTTTTTTTTAAACCCAAGTACTTTTGATCTTCTCCAAGATTGTCTTCAGAGACAAATTACAAAGACAAACTTATTGTAACTGTGATAAAATTCCTTAGCAGATAAATTTAAAATTCTACAAGAACTATAACAGTGTATTCATGCCTGTTTAAAAAAAAAAAAAATTTAAAAAAAAAATCACTATTAGAAGGGAAAATAGATTTTATTGCCATCATTTCATAAAAGAATACGTTCTTGAGGTACCATTATATTGTCAAAATAGAGATCCTCTTTAAATAAAATGCAACAAATAAAAACTTGCATTTTTGAACTAGTAGGTCTAATTTGAACTTTGGTAGAGTATAAGACATTTATTTAACTAGGGGAGCGATTTTAATAAGTTGCTATGTGTGCCACTTTTCATAGATTCACCTCCGAGCACAACAGACAGAGAATGACTATTAAAACTTTCAAAGACTTTCTCCAGGTGTCAAATTCATCAGGTGTAAACTTGAGAAGGAAAATTTCAAAACAAAATACTAAGATCCAAGTACATACAGCCATTGTTTGCCATGTTAAAGGTCAGACTGGAAGTCAAAAAATAAACTGTTTGGCATTTGTACAGGGATAGGTCATTCATAATTTTGCTATCGTTTATAATCAGGATTTTGATATATTGCCTGTAAAAGTAATTTACTTGACTCATCAATGACATGATTAAGAAAGTAATGAATGCTTTAATGCTTTAATATCTATTTAAACAATAGATAGCTATTAACATTTAGCACTCTGCCTCATTTATAATTATTAATTTCCCTTTTACTGTTTATAGAATCCATTCAAAATATAGTGTTTTATACATTAGTTCTATATATTTGAAATTGCAGTAGCCTGGCTCTCAATTTCAGTCAAGATTGTTTTAGGTGTTGCCAAAGAAGGATATGACTACACAACCAAGAAATTCAAATTTAACATTGGCAGGACTAACATTTTGCTTTGTGAAAAAAATAGTCACCTACAGAGTGCTAAAGGTATTAAAACAATAAGCTATAAAAACAAGGCGATAAAAATGTAAGAGGTTAGAGAGAATGAAAGACAATAGAATGAAGGAAACTGAAATATATTGAACGGCAAAAATTAAATTTAAATTTTAGTAGCTTTCTTGCTTCAGAGCTTCTCGGTGTAAAATTGCAACCAACATTTATTGCATCTGTTCTCTTCCTGGCAACATGTGTAAGATTCCATCAATAAAAATATTAGTCTGAAGAACATAACCAAACTTTATCCATTTTGTCAATCATTACTGGTCATAATTTTTTTGATATACAATATCTGAATTATCATATTCCCCCATCCTTTTTTTTAATAACCAGATGGATGAATTCTATCAAAGAATCAGAGAAATAATGAATAATATAATAGATATGTAATATTTATAGACAGTAATAATCAATTAAAATTCATAATTTATTTTTTGTTTTACATTAATGTTCACTCTGTACAAGGCCCAAGAATCCCTTGAGGTAGAGAATTACAGAGTAAGGATGTTAGGGGCATGGTTTATGAGGATATGTTGTGAAGATAGTGTGAATAGGTTAAGACTGGGAGTCAATAGTAAGAATTTTTTTCTTTTTTGTTTTTAATTTTAACATTGCCTTTAACAATAACATCTGCACAAAATAAATAAACAATTGTTTTAACTCCACACCACCACCAAAAACAAATTTTTGTATATCAGTTCTTTGGTTCTGTAGTAAACTGTGTCTCAGTTGATGATGATAATAAAAATAAACATCAACATATGTCGGTTATATGATAACATTTTAGTTTGGTATGCCATCTCTTGGAGATAAGTCCAATCTGAAAACATTGGACAACTCCTGCTAATGTCTGACAGATTAGTTCTTGGCTGTTGTAATTTTAAAATATAATTAAAAATTATGGAGGTTCATTCAATTAAAATAAAACAATGCACTATTAGTAAGATTTGTGTCAGGCTAGGAACACATGATAAAATGATTTTCAATTGCAAAGTCATATTCACCACATGACACATGAATTCACATTCATTTAAAACTGACAAAAATATAATTGCCAGATTCACTGTTATGGTACTTATTGTATTTTTTCCTTGAAAGTAACAAAGAATACCCAAAAGTACCTAGATCTCAAAATTTAATTTCAAAAAGTTCTCTTACCTGAAAATATAACTAATTTGTCACTAGGAGAAACTGACCAAAAGCTTCAATAGACATTATCTGTTCTTTTTTAATAGAACATGTTTTATATATATATATATATATATATATATATATATATATATATATTTATTTATTTTTTTTTTGAACAATAAAAAAATATTAAAAAATTAAAATCTTCAGACACATTGGGTTGTAGATTAATATTCTTTCATTTTTTATTATTATTATTTCATTTACATTCCTCATATATACACATACACCACAAAATGTCACATGTACATTTACTGTAAATTATTTCCATCATTATATATATATATATATATATATTTACATGTGTTTCATGTTCAATTTGTCTGAAGGCCACATGAGCGTGAAACTCAAGTTGCAACTAGAGCTATCAGTTCATAAGCGTTTTTGCTCAGTCTAGGCAATCTGGGCTTCAAGCACTTTACTGAGTAAGTAAGTTTGCTTTTAGGCCTTTCTTTTCTCTTGACAATATTTTTGGTTTTATTCAAGACTGTATCAGGATAAGAGCTTTAGGTTTTGGCAAATTGTCAATTGGTTCAACCAACAGTTTTCATTTTTCTTTAATATACCTCTTGAAACTTTACAGTGGACACTTGTATTTGAAATAGACACCCTATTCTTATTTTAATCAGTGTGTATCATGTCTATATCGAGAAATCTTAATAAAGTAAATGTGTTCCTGAGTTAGGATTGAACCTGTGTTTCCCTTTGTAGAAGAAATCACCATTTAATATTATATATATATATATATATATATATATATATATATATGACCATAGAAGTTGAGTATATCTTTATTTTACTGACCTCATATTTGTAGTCTGCAATGCGAGAGTTCACTATTCATATATATATATATATATATATATATACACACATACATGGGATAAAGATATCATTTTCTTTATATATCAAGAACAATTGTTTGAGGTATGCTATATTTATGGGTTAAAGTGCTCAATATTAGGGATAGACCGGATGCAAATATAAAAGTGAACATTGAGGTCAATGCCCTATGGTGACAGTCTGTTTCATGCTTAAACACAATCCTCAGGACATCATGGTCTGATGATTGCACTTAAGCATGAAACAGACTGTTGCCACTGGGTGTTGACTTCAATGTCAACACACCACAAAATATCACACTTACACACTTTTACCATCTACAGTATGCATTTTACACAAAACCTAATTTCGTTTTTAACCTATTACTGTAACCAATATTTTCATTTTTTTTTTTTTTTTTCATGATTATTTGCTTAACATTTTAAAATAGACAATTTAATTAATATGAGATCAGGTTAAAAAAATAAAAATAAATAAAAATAACCATAAGAATATACACACACACACACACACACAAATTCCTTTGCATCCTAAAATGGCATTCTTGGAGGACATGATTTTACTCAAGGTGATCTGAATCCCTTCCCCCACTCCCTGCCAACACCCCAGGCCCCACGGTGGAGGGTGGAGTACGGAATTCCTTAATGAGTTTTTAAAAGGGAAATTTTATTCCTTTCAGTTCATGCATTTCTTTTTCTTCTTCCTTATTTTACACATCTTTTTTCGATAACCGATGTTCTAAGACCATGACTAAAAGCTGCCATTTCTTTTTAAACTCCCTGGCAACTTTAGATTTTAGTAGTATCCATTGGATCCCCTTCTCCATTAACATTGGCCTGAACGATTGAACCACGTTGCTTCCAGACTTTACCTGCTGCCAGTATCTGGGCAATTTCCTCGAATGTCTTGTTCTTAGTTTCAGGCACAAAGAAGAAGATAAAGGTGACAGCAATTGTGAGAATGACAATAAACAGGATGAATGTGTAGGGACCCAGAGCAACCTGCAAAAAAGAAAAGAAAAAGTTAGGAAAACCCAACCTATTGAGGTACATATCACTGCAAGTTCTCAAAAATATAGTTCTTACTCAAAATTATCTGCCCTTGATTCGAGTTACCTGCCCTTGTTAAAGTTTTCAGTGTCTCACTGTATAATAGCGCTGATATTAAGAGAACTTGAAACGATTACTTGGTTACTTATTTTAGCGTGTGTATGTGTGTATGTGTGTTTGGGTGGGTTTGCCACGGAATGTTGATTTTTACATTCAAACTGAATGAATATTTTAGGAACATTGTTGGGAAGAGTTCTTTTCGTATTTTTATTTCAAACTCATAAATGATTCTAATTGAGAAAATTTAATTCAAACATTTGTTTTGTGCCAATTCATCTAAGGAAGAACAATACTCCAAGTGTTCTCCCTAAAAAGAGAATTTAGACTGAAAATAAGGAAACAAAAGGAAAAAGATGAACAAAGAAAGAATTCACAATTCATAGCCTTAAAAATAGTCAATGTTAACATCTGCTCTTGTAATTCTGTCAAGCAATTGAAGGGGCAAACATGAGAGAGACAGACAAAAAAAAAAAAACAAAGACAAGAGAGAGAGAGAGAGAGAGAAAAAAATGGAGAGACTGAAAATGAAAAAAAAAAAAAAAAGAGACTGAAAAAAAAAAAAAAAAAGAGACAAAATAAAAAAAAAAAAAAAAGAGAGACTGAAAATGAAAAAAAAAAAAGAGGCTAATAAAAACATCGAGGATAGATTGCAAAAAAAAAAACAAAAACTGTGAACTTACTTGAAGGAAAGGGAAAGTGAGCAAAAGAATAAAGTTTGTCACCCAATTGAAGACAAGTGACATGGACATAGCTGCAGCCCTGGGAGCCTGGGTGAACAGCTCAGATACCAGGTTGAATGGAATTGGACCTGATTGAGAGAAGAAAAAATGTTTAAATTAAGTCTAATCAAATCAATACAAAAACAAAACAAAAAAACAAACACATTCCATTATACACAAAACCAAGATTCTGTGCACATCGATCTGACATAGTCCCCAACCATCAAAACGGATAATATTCTTAGCTTCAGTGTGTTCAGACACTGAACCAAAGTTATTATTGAACCTATTTACTAAGTTGTTTTTTTCCTATATATACCTATGATAAAATAAAATTAGCAAATTAGTAAACATGTTTTGTTAATGCATTTATCAACTGCTTGTTTAAATTCCATTTCTTGCATCTGCTTTTTCACCTGGATTCACATGAATCTGTTAATATTGCTTGAGAGATAAGTAAAACTAGGACTCGACAAACAAAAATTCTTTCTGTTCCGCAATGAACCACATCAATACTGATGCAAGTCTCTTTTCCTCTACAGTGAAATTGAAGATTAATCCAACGAAAACTAACAACTTGGTAGTATGAAATTTAACAGGTTGTGTTTGCATTTTAGGTGAAAACATGGTTCATATATGTAAACATAGAAGAAGCATTGGGTTTCTACTAATTTCTTAATGTCATTTGGGTATTTGTGTTTCATTTTGGTCTAGGGTAAAGGAGTATAAGCATCATATTAATGGTTGGGTTCAGGTCAGTCTTGTGCAGACTTGGAACACCCAAAGGAAGACTATTTACATTATTCGGACTATTGTCCGAATCTTTGTTACCATAATATTACAACATTTCGGTCGTTGTACGCTCCGGCTTTCTTCAGGTAGTTGGAATGTTGAACTGAACTCTTTATTTTGCTCACTGGGGTAGACTGCTCTAGTTCCACGTACCATGTTTAATGGATGTCAGTTATCAGTTATCTCTTGTTAATTCCCCTCTCCAAGTTCTCCACTGCCTTAACCAGGTATTGAACTTAAACTCTTTGGATCCTGTCACTGGATCTAACCAACACCTTTATCCACTGTGCCATGTGTCCTTGAGGCCGAAACATTGGTGACAAAGATGAGGACAATAATCTAAATGATGTAAATACTGTACCTCATCTCAGAAATATAGACAGATACTGAAAGGCCGAAACGTTGTAATAAATATGGTGACAAAGATGAGGACAATAGTTGATAATAATGTAAATAGTGTACATAATACCTCATCTCAGAAATATAGACAGATACTGAAAGGCCAAAACGTTGTAATAAATATGGCGACAAAGATGAGGATAATAGTCCGAATAATGTAAATAGTGTACATAATACCTCATCTCAGAAATATAGACAGAAACCAAAGGATGGTTTGTACTTACATCAGAAAGTTTAAACATGGTTATGGGATGTCTATTTTCTTTTTCATGATACAAAAGTTAGGGTAAATCAATACAAGCATTGTCACAATAGTTGTGCTGAGTTGGAACAACCCAAGAGAAAGTTTAACTTACTTCATAGGTGAAGGTTTTGGAAGACATGTACAAGTGTGATGCATTGGAAAGTAAGAAGAGAGGTCCAGTGGACTGAAGAAACTAATGTTCTCTAGTGGGAACATAATTACCACCTGGTTTTACATCTTGGAGAAAATAGGTGAGTGAGGAAATGTGTGCATTTTTTTTATAGACTTCAACAATGCCAATTAACATTTGAATAAACCAAGTGGGGTAATCATTTTCCTATACTTTTAGCATCATGGGAAAATACATTTCTTTTCCTTTTTTTTTTTTTTAATTTCTCATTATTTTATTTAACGATTTTCTTTAATTTTCCAACAGTAGTCTCAGTTTACCTTGCTATTGAAGAAGGCTGCTTAACCTAAAAAAAAAAAAGAGGATGTCATGTGATCCTAAAAAAACAAAACACAAACAGGATACAGGCAAAGGGCGAAATCTGAAGACTATCCTCCTATGATCCTTCCATGACAACAACATCATCAATTTACAGATGAATTAGTTAGATGTACCCATAAGGTCTATGCTAACAGTTTCTTTTCTTGCACTTCTGACTTGTGGAAATCCCTTCTGGCTCCATGCTTTCCAGCCAACTTTGTCTTCAAAAACTTGAATGCAATGTTAATTGTTATCTAATGTTTTTGTGATTACCCTTTTATTGTTTTGGATCCTTCATAATGTTTTGTATTCTATTCATTTCACACCCAGTAACCTCTTGTGTTTTAGTGGCTTAATTGCCTTGCTTGGGGTAAATTCTATTAAAAAAAGAAAAAAAAATAGCAGAAACAGTCAGTCTGTTTTTTGATATTAATTTCTGTTTGATTTTTATCATTTCTGATGGAGATGCTGACCTTCAAATGTAGGGAGGAAAAAAGAAAATGAAAATTATTTCACTTTTGAAGTGAATTGCCCAGACATGTGTTTTTTTTTTGTTTTTTTTTTTTTATCTTATAATTAACAGTATCTGTTCTGTGAGAATATCAAAAGATAAACTTTCTGTTGACATTAACCAAATAAAAGGAAATGACAAGGGCAACTTACCAAGACCAAGGGCAAATCCGACAATGTAGGTGTGCATGACGATAATGCTGCACACTGCCATCCAGCCATGTTGTGACTAAAATATCATAAATGAAAATAATTAAATGTAAAAAATAAAAAAAAACTTGAAAAATCAAATATTAACTTTCAAATTTGTTAGCATTTAAAATAATTTAAATGTTGAAATTGGAAGAATTAAAACATGTCAAATTTTTAAAAATATATTGATGAGAGAGAGAGAGAGAGACAGAGAGAGAGACAAACACACAGACAGAGAGAGAGACACACACAGAGACACAGTTACTAATAACTGATACAACAAAAGTTAATAAAAATAATAAAAATGAACACACTACCACCCCTTGTCTGAATGACTGGATTTCTCTGTATCCTTGGAAACAGTGAATTATGTTTTTTTTTTGTTTTTTTTTGTGCGTTTAAAACAATTTAAAAAATAAGTTACTCCAAAATTCACTTGAGGAGGAAATGGAACTAATGTTTTTAATTTAATTACAAATACAAAATTAAATTTGAAGTTTTTAGCTTCCAATTTTGAAACACGGTTATTACTGTGTAGCGAAAAACAACATATTTTAAACCAGTTAATTTATAACATTTATGCTCTGTAAATTTACATTGAGCACTGTTTTGTAAAAATAAAAATATCAATAAGAACACCAGATTATATATCTTACTGTTCTTTATATATATATATATATATATATAGGATTAAAAACACTAATGACAATTTTGACATCACCATGGGATCTTTAGACTCTGCAAAGTCTTCTGACCTTGTTGGTCTATTTATACTATACAATTTAACTGCACACAGTGAATTAGACATTAAGGACATCGGGCTTTACAGGGATGATGAGCTCATGGTAGTGAGGAGCTCCCCAAATTTTAAAAGATATAAAATTAGAAAGATAATATATAGTGAATTCAGAAAACTAAACTTAAAAACTACAGTCAATACTAAATTAAAAATGGTAAACTTCCTCGGTGTAACTCTAGACTTAATGAACATATACCTACCTTACAGAAAACCTAACACTAATCCTTTGTATGTACACCCTAAGTCAAACCATCCTCCATCTATAATTAAGCATATATCCACATCAATAGGGAAAGAATCAGTATATACTCTGCTAATAAAGAAATTAGCCAACAACACAGTAATTTTTATAACACAGCACTGAAAAATGCTAACATAAATTATAGAAACAATAGTACTAACCAGAAGAAAAACAGGAAAAGGAAAATCATTTGGTATACCCCTCTGTTCAACCAAATGGTTAGTATTAAGCTAGGACATAAGTTCCTAGCTTTAATTGAAAAACACTTTCCTACTAATAGCAGACTTAGCAAGATCTTTAATAAAAACACCTTAAAGTTAAGTTATAATTGCACTGAAAATCTAGAAAGAATCATAAAAAGAAACATAATAAAATCCTGGAAAAAACATGCATGCCAAAATAGTATTAATAAAAATCCTAAGGTAAAATTAGACAAAAATAATGAAAAATTATGTCATTGTAGAAACCCTGAAGACTGCCTGTTGTAAAATAAATGCTACACAAAATCTGTGGTATACTAATGCACTATTGCATCCATTGAGAGTCCTAACACTGATAGGATATACATTGGTTCAATGAAAAATAAATTTAAAATTAGATGGAGACAACACAAAAGCTCCTTCAATAATATTATAAATAGAAATCAGACATCTCTATCCAAATATTTTTGGTATTTAAAAGAAATGAATAAAACACCAAAAGTAAAATGGAAAATTATAAACAAAACTAGAACTTGTAAAACTTGGGATGACCCATGCCCTTTATGCCTACATGAAAAACTACACATTATTAATTTTCTAAATAATGAAAATTTATTAAACAATAGACATGAGTTAACGGTTTTCTGCCGACAAATTTTCGCATTAAATAATTAGCATAAAAAAAGATTAAATTTCATAGTCTAATAAAAGGTTTAAAAGCTTAATCCAATCACAGGAGAAAAAACCTTTTATGAAGTTGTCAAAAAAACAAATTGTAGTTCAGTGCGACACGATTAAGTACGAAACAGCCCTTTAGGAAAAAAAATAAAAGGATAAATAAATAAATAAATAAAATGAAACCAAATTCTCTTAACGGCATATTATGGTGCCAAAAGTAATCTTTCACTTTGACTGACCAGACGACGTACACACATGAATGTCATCATTCGCTTTGAAATGGATGTCCCCCACCCTATCTAAGCTTGACCTCTTTCTGAAGGTGACTGATACGTGGATAAAAATTATCTCTTAGACCCCTTACCAAAATGGTCACTCCAGCCATTTCCATAGTAATTAATTTTGCGAATGAACATGCTTATAAAGATGCGTAAATTTTAAGATTGGTTATTCCTAAATTTTCGCTTGAGGATGAAACAGGGCTTGATACTTTAATTCAATTTAATTTTAATAACTATATTGAGGGTTTTGGCTCTCGTTTTTGAAACATGAGAACTCTTATGCAGCAAAGGAATCATTTTTAAAAAAATAATTATAAAATTATATATATATATATATATATATAAAAAACCACATCATTTTATGTACCTGATAAGCTACATTTTCTTGTAAATTTAAAAATATCGACAGTATAAGCATGGACAAAATCATCACCACCATGGGGAACAACAGCAAGGGACGGCGTCCAAGTTTCTCCATTAGAGGTACCTGAAATGAAATGGAAAAAAAAAAAAAAAAAAAGTCAGAAATTGCTTGTGGATGGTATTATTTATGTAGTGATTTTATAACATATTTATGTTATAAGTTTCGAATAAATAATTATATTTGCTCTACTCTGTATTGAGCACTCTTAAGAATAGTATTTTTTGGTTATTGGAATTTATTCCGTATACACCAATCCCATACTTGGGTTTTGGGTGTGTGTGTGTGTATATATATATATATATATATATATATATATATATATATATATATATATACTTACATTCAAAATGTAAATTAAAGTTTTGCTGTTCTACCAATGCATCATATGTATATTTATTAATATATACTTCTTAACTAGTAGAGACCATCAGTCATAGGAGTCATGGAAGGAGTTGGGGGAGGGGAAACATTTGTCCAGCATTATACAATAGTCTGAAATAACTATAAAGTGTTGAAAATTCTCAAAATCTGACCAAATGATTAGTCATCAGTTATTTATTTTTTTTCATTTTTGGTTGGCAGAGAATTTTTCAGCACCCCCATCATATTTCACCTTTATATATATTTTACATATACACACACAGCATTCTTTAGTTGTATAATTTCAGACTTCTGCAGTTAGTACATGACATGCCACTTCCAAAGAGTTGAATCATCTTTATTTCACCCATGTTCCACTCCGAAATCTGGTTCATCCCACCTGCTGCCACTTTTCCTGAATTATTCAAGCTTGACCCCTTCAAGGGTCATTTTCCCCCTTTATCCTTAAAACCTTGATGCCATTTATTAATGATTGCGATATGTCATTTATCTCTGTGCTAATCCTCCCAAAAGTTTGGATAATAATTTAATGTGTTTTCACTTACCACAATGATAGTTGCAATCACATTAATAAAACCGGTCCCAACAATGGCATAAGGGATGTAGATTGCTTTCACTTGAGCTTGGGTAAAAATAAAATCTGAGTATGAAAACACCTAGAAACAAAAGAAAAATAAAAGATAAATTTGAAAAAGAAATTGATACTTTTATTCTTTTTTTTTTTCAAATCAATAAATCAACTTATACTATTGTATGACATTAAACTTAACTTCAATTCCTATTCAAGGGTACCCACAAGATAGCATAAGAATGTAATATTGGCCATTTCCTTATAAGGAAACATTTGGCATTCACTGAGTAGTCAGTACTAATGTCAGTTAAAAGTTTTAGTTTTAAAAATTAAAATCTTTCTCTTAAAAGAATTTTTCAGGAAAACAGGATTCTCAATTCCAGTAGCTGATTGGAATTTCCTTACTAACATTTTGCTTGAAGTAGTGTGAAACGTCAACATTTTGATTACATCATTTTCTGTTTAAGTTACATGTGCTATCCATTTTAGCTGTTGCCGCAGTTGAATGTATCCAAGTGTTGTGGTTTCCATTATTTGGTACAGTTCTTTGTGATTCTGTAGCATCAATGTTTGAAGAAGGATGGTCTTCAACAGGATCCATAAGCTTCATTCACTTAAAGCCATTTTTAATCATTAATGTTAGAAAGCAGTTGTATACAGCTGATAACTTAGATATTTCTGAACAGGTTTGGTACCATGCATGACATCCATAGGAAAATCTCCATCTTGCAAAGCAGTTTAAAACATGATTAGTTTTTAGGCTACTGTTTCGGTTTTTGTAGTAATTTGTGGTGTGGGGATAAACTAACTCTGGCATAGCCTATTCTACATTCAATTCTTGATATTGGGTAATGGTTAAGATGCTTGTCCAGTTGACTATAATTAAAGGCATTTGGCTGTATCTGTGTATATGTATCCATATATGTATCTAGCTTAAACTCTTAACAATATTTAGACTGCCTTTTTTTTTTTCTTTTTTTAAATCAATTCACCCCAAGCAAGATAAAGTCATTTTAATTTTTAAAAATTTTTATGGTCATATATGTTGGCTTGGGAAAGAAGTATTTCCTTTAAGAAAGGAGATATTTGGGTAAAAAAGGGTGTAAGTTAACATTTTGGTAAGAATTGATAATTGCACTCTGAAGAACATTTGTCTAAGTTATTTTAATAATTATAGCATTTTCACGATCAAAGATGTGATTGGATTTATCTCTGTTTATATCAAATGTATTGGATCAACTTATGTAAGAGATCTTATGTTCATAAATCTTTTTTTAAATTTCTGAAAGTTTCACCAATATATTGTAAAGAACAGCCTTGACAGGTTATTTTACATATGCCTGCTTCCAAATTATTGCTATTATGGACATGTTTGGTTCTGCTATATCCATAATAGTTTTAGATATGGTTGTAATTATTTTGATAATATTTAAAACTGGATATATTGTTTTAAATAGCAGAAGTTAATGAATTAGTAGGTAATATTATATGCTTATTATCTAGTTTGTTTTTTATATATATATTAAAAAAAATTAATGGATTAATTTTTAATCTAACATTTCTATTACTTCAAATGTTATAGCGGATACATCCAATTTTTATTTTAAACAGTGTAGACAGTATTACATCAACTGGCCTGGGTATTCAACAAATCTTCATAAAGAAAATGTGCTCTACAGCAGAAATTGAACATACATCCCCCTTTATAGAAGAAACCACCATTTGGTCAGGTATCCTTTACTGCTCAGATACAGAGAGTGTCACAGTTCAGCAAGGCCCTAATTTTTTCTTTTAAGCAAAGCACACTTCCTCGTCCAGATATTTTTCTCAAAAGCACACATCTGCTTGGTTTTGTATTGGAACTTTTCAAGTAATATATGTGCATGTGTGTGTGCATAAAAATGAAAATCCAAAACTTTGGACACTTACGGCATTAATTCCAGACCATTGCTGAAAAACCATCATGAGACAGGCAATAATTACAGGAAGACGGTGCACTCGTGAAGTGAGGAGTTCTTTGACTTTGAAAGGAGCCTCTGGAAGTTTGGATGCCTCCAAGTTCATTTCTTCTAATTCTTCAGAAACATCGGACGTACCTCTGAATTTCTTCAGAGCTGTCAAAAGAAGATCAAAAGTTATGTCTTAAATGTTTTAAATGCCAATGTGATGCGCACAATATTGGTAGAATGGGTCAGAGGACAATAAAGAATTAACATATACGAATATGGGATAATTTGCACAGAGGTGCATCAATAGATTTGCATCAGCCCCAAAGTTAAACATTTTTCTAACCACCACTAGTGTACCTCGTCCTATAATCATGACATGTTCTCAGTAGTGATGAAGTCTCATTTGGATTTCCAAATAACAGTCAGACCATATATATATATATATATATATATATATATGTGTGTTTAGGATTTATTTTATTTATCCCAGCTCAACTTAGTGTATTGAGCACTCTACATTTTAGCTTTATTACTCGTTTAGGGCTTTTTCTTTGGACTAAAAATTTAAGGCACTAGACGATTTGTTTCATCTTTTTTTTTTTTTTCCAATTTTTTCCTCGGGTACCAATTTGTTTTGATATGCTTGCAAGTCATGCTACCCAAGGTTTTTTACCAACCGAGTATTAATATTAGTATTTTATATATATATATATATATATATATATATATATATATATATATATATATATATATCTCCAAGTATAGGATTGGTGTATACAGAATAAATTCCAATAACCAACAAATACTATTCTTAAAAGAGTGCTCAATACAGAGTATAGCAAATATAATCATTTATTTGGAAATTATAACTGTTTGTTTGTGTGTGTGTGTGTGTGCATACAGAAAATCAGTAGTAGATCATAGACAATAGGGAACTTAATAGATAGGTAATCATATTAAAGAAAGAAAAGTGTAAATGGCTTTCTCACCTTCTTCAGCATGTTCCACTTTTTTCAGTTTGACAGCTAAGTATCTTGGTGATTCAGGACAAAATGGCATGAAAATTAAACACACTAACGAAGGAAAAGCATTAAAAGCAAACAAAACTGGCCACAATTCTGGTGTTCCTGTTGGGGAGAGAAAGAAACAAAAAAAATGGAAAGATATATCAGTTTTGAAAGCAAGATTTAAAAAAAAAAAAAAACCCAAAGAACATCATTTATTAATCTTATTAATTACCATTTAAATTGTTCAGTATCAATTATAAAAATTAAAGTAAAATTTGGGTATTCTTTGGATGAAGCTGAGATGTAGGTGAAGCTGAGTACCTGGGCAGTTCCCTTTCTATATCTTCATTGAAAGCCGGTGTGGGTATTCACTCATACATAGCTTGTCTTGAAAAAGTAGACCTGACGGAGCCCATCCTTCTCAAAGTCAAATCACAACCAATGCCCTTTCATTTGAGGGCTTGCCTTAGTCACAGAAAAGTGGCTATTGATTCCATTGGGAAAACCCTCCATCCTGGCTGTTGACCAGTCTAGGAAATATTTCCCCAAATGTTACTCATTGAACTGGCTGCATACATAGCTATGGTGTCCAATCGACCCAATTGTGCTTGATGGCCACTGACTCTACAAGAAAATTCAGCCATCTTTTGACAGGCCCACTTTTTAATTCAGTTGAATTAAATTTAAAACTACATTCATCACTAAAAAGAGTCTGGGGGAGAAACCACAACAACCGGACTATGCAGGAGGTAGGGTTAGGGTTACATATTACCAACAGCATTTGTCAAGTGACCTGATGTAAATATTAATTATAAGTTTTTTTATAAAGAGAAAAAAATAAAAGTATTAATTACAGGTTAATGCCCACAAATGTAATACCTAAATGCGGGCATTAATCTGTAATTAATACTTGCTTTATCACCAAGACACTCAAGTAGATATCCTGCAAAAAAGTTGACCGATATTAACTATGCAGTTGACCTAACTGTCACTGCAGACACCATTACCAATGCCACAGCTCTGCTACAGCATCTAGAAAATGCTGCCAATGATGTGGGCACTATGTCAATGCTTCTAAAACTGAATTCATAAGCTTCAACCAGCAAGGTACAATATATACTCTTGCAGGATAATCAATAGAATTTGTCGGATCTTTTACATAGCTAGGAAGCAAAATAAATTTGGCTGAAAAGGATCTGAAAATTTGCATAGCTAAAAGTCAGGGCTGCCTTGAATAAAATATAATTAATCTAGAAATCTGATTTACCAGACAACCTCAAGCAAAGATTCTTTTGAGCCACTGTAGAGACAGATGGTTTTAATGTATGGTGCCACTGCTTGGACATTAACTAAAATCCTGGGGTCTAAGTTTGATGGAACCTACACTTGGATGGTGAATGTCAATGCCTCTAAAACTGAATTTAGAAGCTTCAACCAGCAAGGCTCAACACAAATCAGTAAAATCTGTTGAATCTTTTACGTACTTAGAAAGCAAAATAAATTCTACTGAAAAGGATGCGAAAATTTGCATAGCTAAAACCTGAATCGATTTGAATAAAATGAATGCAATCTGGAAATCTGATCTACCAGACAACCTCAAGTGGAAATTCTTTCATGCCACTGTAGATTCGGTTTTAAGGTATGGTGCAACTAACTAAACCATTCAGTCCAAGCTTGATGGAATGTACACTGGCACTCAGAGTTATAGCTAACATCTCTTGGAGATGACATCCAACTAAATCACAGCTGTATGGACCCATTTCTGATATTTCTATAATCAGAAACCCTAGAGTCTAAGCTTGATGGAACCTACACCTGGATGCTGAGAGCTATAGTTAACATCTCTTATGTGAATGGATGATGCACTTTGTAGGATGGCACTGGCAACCAAAACAAGAATTTATGAATGCTCTATTGCTCTGAACATCTAGCCACAGTGCCAGAGAGGTTGGTCACCCAGCAAAACACCTATATTGAGGAGCTATGTAATGATACAGGATGCCACCCTTAATGACCTTTTGACCCCGATACAGGACCCAGATGGTTGGTATGATAGACTCATGAATATCCAAGCTCAACCAAATAAATAAAAAATAGATAGCTAGATAATGATGATGATCATAAATACCCCAGAATTTTAAATCTAATGATTTCATCCTTAGGGGGAATAAATTGCCACCAATTATTTTTATATCTTATAGTTGTTTTTATCATTTCACTCCAAGCAAGGAAATAAAGTCACTAAGACAAGGGGTTACCGAGTGTGAAATTATAAAACAAGGAGATTTATGATTACTTTTAAGCAGCATGAAACCTAGGGTAAGAGCCTTAGCTGGTAAGCACCAAAGTCAGTCATGGTATTGAAAACATTGAGATAAGCTATCAAATGAACCTAGAGTAAGAGCCTTAGCTGGTAAGCACCAAAGTCAGTCATGGTATTGAAAACATTGAGATAAGCTATCAAATGAACCTAGAGTAAGAGCCTTAGCCAGTAAGCACCAAAGTCAACCATCGTTAAAACCATTTTTAAAGAATGTATAACTGTTTGTATTGCTGGTATTTTCTTTTAAAGTATTGCTGGTAATTTTTCCTTCAAAAATTATTGCTGGTAATAATTTTTTTTATTACAAAGTATTTCTGGTATTAAAACCTATTTTTACACAAGTTTGGGTGTTAACTATTTGCCCATAGCTGAAACCCTAACAGGTGCTACCACCCCAGGTCAGGGTGGACCTGGGAAGACCAGCAATTAAGAGGCGGTTCCATGCTCCTCAAAACCTCCTGATCAGAGGCCTTGTTGTTGGACGTAGCTTATTGTCTTACCCAGAGAATGGCTAAGATAGTAAAGAAAATATTGGTAAGAGGGGTAAAGATAGGAAATTGTGGAGAGCTGCGAAAGAGAAAAAAGGTTAATACTTACCTAACATTTCTTTAATGCCCATAATTTGTGCTAAAAGGATTCCGATGGTGATTGCTAGCTGATGGCATGTCCCCACAGCCCCACGGATACTTTTAGGAGAGATTTCCGCAAGATAAAGGGAAGCCAAGCCAATGTTAATACCTGGAACACAAAAAAATTAACTTTTTTAGAAAAAAAAAAAAAAAAAAAAATCCAGTGAAAAGCAGATGAGAAAGAAAAGTAGTTTTAGCCAATTCCAATTTAAATATAATTTAATATTTCTGACATGAGATATTGTAACTATTTACATCATTTGGTATGTAAGTATTTTTTTTAAAAATATATTTATATTAGCTATCTAAGCCCGTTCACCTCTATGCAGCTATCTAAGCCAGTTTATATCTACAGTGGCCTAAGAAAAGTTTTTAGCCAGGAGAAATAAACTACATCCAATTTCCAAATTTAATTACGTAATCCCTATTCAACATAAGCAAATAGTATTTTGAACTAGTATAGTATTCTACTACTGTGGTTGTTGTCAAAAACCCATGCCAATCATGCATTGGTTGTTTTAGCCATGAATGACACTGTGTTTTAAAATAACTTATTTTCCACAGCTTCAAAAAAAAAAAAAAAAAAAATATGCCCAGTAGTATTTTGGATTGTACAAATATCTAAATGGTTTTGTTTATCATCATTTTCAACTTGTTTTTAAAAAACCCAAATATTAAACAACATTTTAATGCGAATGAAGACTTCAGTGATGAATTTATGGAGCAAAAAGTATTCATTATCATAAACTAACAGTAAAAGTTTAAAATGATACATTATTTACAAAAGCACTATTCAGTTATCTCCCTTGAATTTTCTAACTTGATTTTTGGTAAAATGAACAATTCAAGAAAGTTAATTCCCCCCCCCCCGACTCCAGTAAGGTTCACCCTGTACAATGTCCAGGAGCCACTCAAAGCAGAGGGTTACATTAAGGAGTAGTTTATATAGATAAAAGGGGAAGATAACAGTTAACTCTAGACTTGAACAGGTTAAAATTCTGAAGATTTGATTTAATGGTTTTTAAAGCCAGTTCTGGGGCAAATGCCATCCACTGTTATGATTTCTTTTTGCCAGTGTGAGTGTGTAGCTCCGGGGAGCTCTTAATTGAACAGCATCCTCAATTCCTCCCTGGTTTTCATATAACTGTGTGCATTATAAATCTTTCCAATGCTTGAAAAAAATGGATGCAGGTGTTAGGTCATGTGCTCCTTCATTAGGCAGCCAAAAGTAACTCCAAGTCGATACTCTACCTGGCTTCCTTAATATACTAGCAGGAAAAATGAATCTGGCACAATCCAGCGGGACCTGCAAACTTGACACCAAAACTAAGGTGTAGGTGCACCACATGGGGTGGAGGGATTGACTACAGTTCCACAGGTTTCTGTGTGTGCATAAATGGGTCCTAATTGAGCTATGGTCAGATAATATATTTCATGTTAGAACACTAAAAAGAAAAAAAAAAAAACAACAAAATCAAGAAACTTTAAGTTGGCCTTAAATTACCAATCAACTTTTGTTTTTTAAAAATAATTATTGCTTGATATCTACTGAAAGCTTTACTGATAAAATTCTCTTCACATTGATTTACATTAAATGATATAATTTTATGCATTCGAATAGTTGTTTATCTTTTAATATACAAAAATGAACTAATTTATCCTATCTCCCCATGTGTAATACGACTTCGGTATAATATAACTGGGTGTTTATGAAGCTAAAAACATGGAATAAATTGCATCCTTGGATTAATTACATTTTTTGAGTAATTTCACATCTATTTATTTCTCAGTTGTGTGTCTGTTTTTGGGTAGAGTGCACTCAGGGGCGACTCCGTCAAAGGACAGAGTTGCAACTGAGGAAAATTATACTGAGAGGTGCCTGGTGCTGGGGAACAGCTGTCCGAAGCCGCACCTTCTCATTGCACTAGAGAGAAGGATTGGTGCATGCACCGAGGCCAGCGCAACCGACGGTTGTGGAGGCTTGGGGAATTTTTGTTCCTTGCCCGGGTGTACGCGCTCAGGATCCCCATATTAAACCGACCTTGTGTCACAACCTGACCTCGTGGGGGGTTGAGTAAATACAAATTACATCCTCGAGTATACGATCATGTAGTAGAGCCATCCTTGTTTTTTTGAAAAGTTGTTCCATATTATTCATTAAAATCTAAATGCTGTACGTATATTTCACTAAAATATTTAATTTTTCCCAATATTAAAGAAAAGAAATGAGTCAAATGTTTAACCATTGCATGTTTCTTTTAAATATGGTTTCAAATTTTTAGGGAAAGGTGCTAATTAGACACACCTGGTAATACATTTCAAGGTGTTAATTAATCTATCTTACCGTTGCATTCGATATGACTTTATTATACTTCTATATACTAATAAACTATGAAAATATTAAAAAAATATAGTCTTTAATTAAGAATGAGGAGAGAAATGAATATGGCCGACATAACAATACACCTTTTGTAAAGAATTGTTATTAACACCTGCCTACTTTGTATTTTATTATCTATTGTACTAATTGAGGGTATGTGTAATCTTGCTGCTTCGAGTGACAAAATTTTTAAGCTAAGAGAAAAATTTCTGAAATGTATACTTGTATATAATATGACTTCACCTTTCTTACCTTCAAGTTGCATTCAAAATTTCTCGTTTTATAGAAAAGGAAATATTTATCATACTATGCAAAGGAAAACATTTTTCTTTTGCATAGTACGAGAAATTCTGAATGAAAATAAGTACATGTTCTCAAAGCTATCAAAATAGGACCAGCTGACCTCGAGTGGAAAAACAAGTTTTAGGAAAGAAAAAAAACTAAAAAAAACAAAACAAGTTCTGTTGACTACTGAAATATCACTGGTTTGCTTTATATATAAAATCTATTTTTCATTCAGTGACACAGTGGACTAGTTGCATCCCGTCTGTCATCCACTGGGATAACAGTATATATTAAAACCCTTTTCTGATTAAAGTAACACTGACTTTATAACAGTCATCTGTGAAAGGAAGATATGCAAGAAAGAAATCTTTTACAGTACTACATGCTCAAATGTATTAGTCATTCATCCAGAGAGTGATTTTCTAAGTGCTGCTTAGATGTGGCACAAGGCCGGAAGTATGGAGCACCCAGTGAGGATCAAACTCACTACTCAGTCATAATTGTTCTAGTGAGACAAGCTTGCTAGCCATTACACTACCTTGAGTCATTCATCCTGATAAGTTTGACCATAATTTCAACTTAAAAAAACATTCAGTTTGAATTAAAAGACTAACTTATTAAGATTGGGTTTGGTTTGGTTTGTTTTACGGCAAATCAACCTCAATGGGTTATTTAATGCCAATAAGATTTTTATTACTGGTAATATTTTTTTCCAAAAATCTATTGCTGGTAATATTTTTTTTTCCTTCAAAAATTCATTGATGGTAATAATTTCTTACCTAAATGTATTGCTGGTACTGTAAACTTTTTTTACACTTTCATAGTGTTTTGACCCCAGTTTCGGGATTAACTATTTGCCCATAGCTGAAACCCTAACAGGTGATACCACCCTGGGAACACCAGCAATTAAGAGGTGGTTCCACGCTCCTCAAAACCTCCTGATCAGAGGCCTTGCTGTTGGACATAGTTTATGGTCCTATCTGGGATAAAGTTATTGAGGTAAAAATGTATAGAAAGATAATATGAACACAAAAGGATATATCATGGAGGAACACCAGTTCCTGTACAATCACTGAAGTTAAGCAACATCAAGCTTGGTTAGTACTCAGATGAGTAACTGCTGGAGAATACCAGGTGCTGTGTGTGGGTTATGTAGTGGATCATGGCTTGGAATTGTTAATCAGCGTGCCGAGATCTAATTCACATTGGATTTGTTATATTGACTTACACGCAAAATACTCTCTACTCCTACCATTTCTTAAAGCTGTTTGGTTTTGTACATATATGTTTAAAGAAGTACCCGATTTAAAATCCTACAATACCAAATGGCTCTAATACAGACATGGATAAAACAAACTCTCTTCAAGTCTCAAGTCAGGAAGTGATAAACTAGGGTAATTAATGTGACTTATGATACCCACTTATCCTCAGAGATCCCAAGACATTTTCATCACAGAAAATTTTGTCTTTTAGTTATACTGAAGAAGCTAAAGAGAGCATGTGCTTTCTCCGGTAAAACAAGACGTAAAAAAAAAAAAAAAAAAAAAAAAAAATTACTTTTTGTGTTATCAATTTCACTTTTTGTTTGGGATATTATTATAACACACACATTTTTTTTTTTATATATATATATATATATATATATATATATATATATATATATATATATATATATATATATATATATATATATATATGTGTGTGTGTGTGTGTGGTTTACTCTGGAACACCATTTCCCATACAATCACCAAAGTTAAAGTTAAGCAATGTTGAGCCTGGTCATTACCTAGATGAGTAGCTTAGAAATACTAGGTGATGTAAGCTTAGATGTGTGGATGGTGCAATGGATAATGGCTTAAAATTGTTAATCAGAGAGCTGGGTTTCAATTCCTGTTGGGTTTGTTATATTCACTTCTCTTCAAATACCATAGGAATTCACCTATGCTCCCTGATTTATGGACTAATGAGTCAGATTTATTAGTAAGTTACAAAAGATGAGTTTCTTTGCTTACCACTGTGCAGTCCGACAAGTGCTCTGGAAATCATCAAGCATTCAGGAGATTTTGCAATTTTGGGGATTCCACCAAACAAGCCAGCTATAAACATTATAAACGTGATGTAGATCATTCCTTTTTTCCTGAAAATGGGGAAAAGAAAAAAAAAAAAGGAAAAGAAATAAGTATGGTTTCTATTGATGCATTTGTGTTTCATTTAATAATTCAAAGAAATCTGATGATGTAATAGAACATTGAAATATTAAAATCTTTAAATGAACCAACTTCAGATAAAAGACAACAGGGATGAGATAAGAAAAAACACAAAAAACACAAAGCAAAAAATGAAGCAAAAAAAACAAAAAAAAAAAAAAAACAACCAAAACATGAAACAAAAACATGAAGCAAACCCCCAAAAACATGAAACAACCACCCCCAAAAACATGAAACAAAAACCCCAAACCAGGAAACAAAAGGAAACCCCTACAAAATTGCAATCCTCCCCCCAAAAACACATACACACAAAATAAAAGCATACAAAGACAAATAAATCAAACTCCTAAATTCAGTCAAGTCATTTATGCACAAGGAAAAGCATAAATCCATCTTTTTCTCCCCCTAGCTATGGATTAAATAACAGGACATATTGGGTCTTACAACGTTAGTTGGCAACCAGTTTACCACAAAGTAATGGCCGACTATTCTTCTCCTGAACTAAAAAGAGACTTGCTCGCCCAAAGGTGCATCATGCATGGCACCTAAGAATGGATATTAATATGTAATAATTCTGGGGTGATCACTTTAGTACTTAATGACATTAGGAAATTAATAACCCACTATATGTTCAATAGAATCTCATATGAGTCAATCATGAATCGAAAAGAGACTCGATTGCCCAAGGGTGCATCATGCATGGCACCTAAAATAGGAAGGGTTCACTGAAAACACTTGCGTAAATTAAACGCTAGAGACAATTTCCCCCCCATACTTATCCCAAACCCAACCACAAAAAAAAGAAAAATTGAATAAAAGAAATTACAAAAATATAGCTTGCTTATCATATTTAACAAAACATGCATAATAGAAGGATTGCTGCAATGGACGGCAGTTGTGAATGAGAAAGCAAGAGCCAAGTTCAAATTCTAATTGATTTTGTTATGTTCACCTATGAAAAAATAACCTTGGGAAATTCATGAATCCATCTCTTCCCTTTCCCCCAGCTGTGGTTTACATAACAGCAGAGACTAGCCTTGGTTGGCAAACCAATTGAGGAGAAGGACAACTCTCTAAATGACCCTCCGCAGGTTTTGAATTCATTCAAAATCTGTGGAGGGTCATTTGGGAACCTGGTGGCACACTATGAGCACCAGTTCTCGCTATTCAGTTGTGCCAAAAAGTGTGTGTGTATCTGCAAAAACCCCTACCACCATAATTGAATATGTGTGGGTAGTCTGACACTCGTGTTCTAGGGGCTGGATTGTTGGACCCTCATATGTTGAAGACAATAGGAGATTATATATATCTCCTAGTATAGGATTGGTTTTATATATATATATATATATATATATATATATATATATATAATCTCCTCGTATAGATTTGTGTATATATATATATATATATATATATATATATATATATATATATATATATATATCCCAGTATAGGATTGGTGTATACGAAATAAATTTCAATAACCAAAAAATACTATCCTTAAATTCAAACCTAGCTAGAGACAACTGGACGTCTAGCCACACTGATGAGCTGTGATACAGTGAAACAGTCTGTCTATGAATAGACAGACAGAATACCTACGAATAGCTAGCATGACAGAGGAGTGTTGGAGGACTGTGGCTCAGATATAAAGACAAACTAAAGAGTAACCTATCAGTTGTCAATGTGCTTTACACTAATATTGAATGAGTTGCCCTGGACAAAAATTGGAGATATTTGTGCGAAAATGGTATCTGAGATTTTGAAATTAGTTGTATCGTCTGGCTAAGTGACAAAAAAAAAAAAACAACAGTCAAAAGCATCAGCAAATATTCCTGTTGCTATGTCCTGAGATCCTCGCCATTGCACAATATGTGGACTTGTATATAGGTTGCTAGCAGGACTGAAGTGTCACATAAAAACTTAATCATATGTCGAAATCGATGGAAGAGTCTATCATATATATATATATATATATATATATATATATATATATATACACACACACACGTGTGTTGTATTATAGATTTAAACTAAATTCAAGTACTGGTGTAGTCTATGGCATTTTTACAAACATTAATTAACTAGATAAACCAACTCTTGTAAATCTGGTTTGGTTTAGTTTGTTTTATGGCATATCAACCTCAATTGGTTATTTAATGGCGACAAGATTTTTATTGATGGTAATATTTTTTATCTATCTATCTTTGGTTTCTTAATGTCTATCTGTCTTGCTTGGTCTCTTCATATCTATCTATCTATCTATCAGTATATATTGGTTTGTTTTGTTTTTTTTTCTTTTTCAAAAATATACTGCTGGTAATTTTTCCAAAAAAGCATTGCTGGTATTAAAACCTATTTTTACACTTTCATAGTGTTTTGACCCCTTTTGGGGAATTAACTATTTGCCTGTACCTGGGACCCTGACAGGTGTTAGCAACTTGAATCAAAGTGGACCTGGGAACACCAGTAATTAAGAGGTGTTTCCACGGTCCTTAAAACCTCCTAATCAAATGCCTTGCTATTGGATGTAGTTTATCATTTTACCCAGGATGCAGGCATAGTTTATTGTCATACCCAGGACCAACTCTTGTAAAGACCTGGTAGATAAATCTTTTGTGTTGTGTATGGAGGTGGATGAAAAAGATTTATTATATTTTAAAAACTGTATGGTTATATTTTAGATAAAAGAAAAAAAATATTTAAAATTTAAATGGGTCACTGTGTAAGGTCAAAAGGTCAGAGACTATAGATATTTGGAACAGGGTAGCTTTGGATGTGTTTGAACTTGCATCCATTTACCCCAGGAGCTTACAGTGAAAAAAAATGTGACAAAAGAATCCGGTTATGTATAACAAACAGAAATGGGATTAAGAAAAGATTAACCTTTTAACAGATTAATTTTTGGCCCCCAAGCAAGGTGTTAATGCTAAATAAATAAAGAGCTCATTAGAACAATAGTCATGAAAATATTTATATATTACACTGGCAAATGTAGACAGTTAATATTGTGAGTGTTTTCTTATATACACTAGTGCTACTTAAAGTGGTGGTCCACGAACCGTTGCTGGTATGCGAACCATCAGCTACCAGTACGTGGCCAGTGTCCAGGCCATGTTAAGGGATCATTTAAAGAACTGATAGATGCCAGCCAAACGGTAAACCACCAGAGCCATGGCCGTCAGAATTTGTACTTTCGTACCAAACTTGGTACTTTTTGCTTTCAAATGAAGGTTTTAGTACAATCAGTACAACTTTTACCGAAACTTAAAATATTTGGTGCTATCTGAAATAAATTATTTAATTTGGTATTTTTTTTAAAAAAAGATTATTTAGCTACAATATAATTATAACAATATTAAATTATGTGAATGTTGATAAGTGTTTATTAATTATCAACTGCAAAAAAAGATTATGCGATCAAATGTGTTTTATTCCTGTTCAAAACACGTTTGTTTCAGCATTATACAATTTTTGTTTTTGTGTTAAACTGCTTATTTTTTTATTTTTTTATTTATTATGTTTTGATACTGAATTATCTTTTGCAAAATAATCAGAAGATAAAGAAATACTCAACTTTTATTATATTCATTGTATATATCGTTTTCGGTGTAAATTAATAATACCATGAAATTACGAAGGTACGTGATACATTGAGAAAAAATCCAGTCTGCCATATCAGATCGTTTGAGAAGTGCTGAACTAATCAATAGTGCAAAAGCTTCCTGTTCTCAGGGAGATGTATCAAGAGTCCAAGCAGATGCCTGAAACTACTAATAGTACTGAACTGCATACTCTTTTATATCTATAAATAACTATGAAAAATTTTAATTTACAAATAACGTACAAGATATTAACAATAATATTTAATAAGAAAATAGGACAGCTAATGTTGTGTGTGTGTGTGTGTGTGTGCATCTGACTTTATGACTGCTTTTCTTATATTATAAACACCAGTGCTACTCAAAGTGGTGGTCTGCGGACCAGTGTCCATATGTGAAACATCAGCTACTGGTACGCAGCCAGTGTCCAGGCAATGTTAAGGAATTATTTGAAGCTTATTTTTTTTTTTTATTACTGTTTATCTTTTGATATTGAATTATTTTTTGCAAAATAAATGGAAGATAAAAAATAGTTAACCTTTATTAAATATATCATTTCCGGTATAAATTAATATTACCATGAAATATTACAAGTACATGACATATTAAAAAAAAAAATAAAAAAGAAATATTGCCAGTCCGCTATATTAGATAGTTTGAGAAACACTGATATACACAACAAAATGATGCCTCAAAAGTAATGTCTATTTATTCACACAGAATCAAGGAGCTGAGTAACACCATTGGACAGAATAAGATTTCACCTACAAAACCTTACTTCCTCATTGCTTATACATTTTGCATTCACTCTTCTTTTTTTACCTGCTCAGAACATAGTCAGTTACATATATCGCCACCACCATTGCTGGAATGCATTACCCACCGCCTTACTGTACACACATCCACTTTTTAGTTTCTGTAATTGTTCAGCAAGCATCAATGATTAATGTACTCATTTCTTTCTGTATAGATTAGTTAAGTGACACACCTCTCTTGCATATGCACTTTCATATCAGACGCCATTTTACCAGACTGACACTCAGCTAGTTTCTGGGACAAGGAAAAAATAATTTGCTCATCATGTTAATATGATAAAGTGAGTAGCCTTAGTTACTGCTATTCATCTTTTTTAATCATTTCACCCCAAGCAAGGTGATAAAGCCACAAAGACACAAGGGGTTACTGAGTGTGAAAGAAAAATAGAAGCTTTTGGTGAAGAGAAAGGACAATAGAAGAACAGGATTCAGGAAGAGGGCAACTGATGTTGAATTTAAATTTTTGAAGATTGCAGGTAGCAAGGACTCAAGAAACCGAAAGAGAATTCCACAGGGAAGAAGTGCAAGAAAAGAAACTATCAGAATAGGACTTACACTTTCATCTGGCTATTTTGAAAGTAAAATGATGAGACATAATAGGTAATCTAGTAGTATGCTTAAATTCATACAGTTGAGATACTAAGGAGGAAAGCTCATTAGAACAACTGCTATGAAAATGTAGGAAAGACAGAGGGAAGCCATGTCATGTTGGTGAGAAAGTGACTGAAGTCATCCAGCCAGGAATTATAACATTACAGACCATTCTTTGGTTTGGTTTGTTTTACAGCATATCAACCTCAATGGGTTATTTAATGCCAACAAGATTTTTATTGATGGTAATATTTTTCTATCTTTGGTCTCTTCATGTCTATCTGTCTTGCTTGGTCTCTTCATATCTATCTATCTATCTATCTATCTTAGTATATATTGGTTTGGTCTGTTTTACGGCATATCAACCTCAATGGGTTATTTATTTTGGTGCCCATCATGCATGCATGGCTTAAGTGACATTGTGGTTTTTGGTGGGTGTGGCTTAATGGTACTGACCTGTACTTGAAATTAAAAAATAAAAAAATAAAAAAGGAGTCCCAAACTGAAACAATTTTTGAAAAAAAAAATCCCTTAAGGGATTGAAACTTACCTTCCAATTCTGTCTGCTATCAAACCTGATACAAATGATCCTATCATGCCAGTGGCAACGAAGAGAGAAACAGTTAAGGACCACTGAAGTCGAATAAAATTAGCTGATGGTACCTCATTATTACGTTCTGAAAATGTTTCATTGTAGAAGTTCATGATAATCTACAAAATAAGAAAAAGAAAAGGAATTTAAAATAAACAAAATGGCTAAAAGCATAAATGATAAAAGTTGAATAAATGGAGACAGCTCACAAGTGAAAATGTAGGAGAGGAGAAAATGGTGGGGGTGGGCGAGGGAGGTAAAAGTGGGGGGGGAGAGTGGAGGGAGGTGAAAGGGAGAGGAAATAAGAACGGAGTGGAGGTGAAAGGTCCTTAACCAAGTCATACATAGAAGGTAATGTGCAGATAGATATTACCACTGGATGGCAATATTCTACTTCAAGCTTAAATTGAATTGTTCTAGTTCCACGTGCCATGCCTCTTCTGACACTAAGACATCGGTGAGATCCAGTGACTAGACCCAAAGAGTTGTGAGTTCAATATCAGGCCACAGCAGTGGTGAAACAAACTTGGAGAGTTGAGTCAAAGGGAAATAACCGAGACATCCAGAAGAGGCATGGCACATGGAACTAGAACAATCTACCCTGCTCGACGAAATAAAAGGTTTGGTTCAAAATTCCAATCACCTGAAGAAGGCAGGAGCGTACAACGGCTGAAATGTTGCGAATATGGCAATGAAGATGAGGATAACAGTCCAAATAATGTAAGTAGACAGTCGATCAGTTTTTAAGGTCAGCAGGGTTCGTTTTAGTTCCTCTCCAGGAAGGGGAAGAAAACCCGACCTCCCCACCACCATATATTCTTAATGCCGGAGAGAGAATAAACATACTTTGTGACAAAGTCACATTCTATTTTTTTAATTATATGACAAGAAATAAATTTAACATTTCTTATTGGGGAATTCAAAAACAAGTATCCAATTTTTATAAACAAGTTTTGGTAAATTTGGATTTTCTCGTCTCCAAAACATTGGGGCGTCAAAGGGATGGACTTTCCCTTAACACTGCTATTATTTTAATTACCTTCACTCCTTTTTTTTTTAAAAAGTATGGATTAGAATTTTAATAAAACCTAAACATGAAAGTGAATTTATATATTTTCTTTGGTAATTGACAACAAAAATAATAAACACTTTATTTATGAGAGCGTTTATTGGAATCATTGGCAAAACATTGGCAATCAAGTCAAATTTTATGAAATCGTCAGTAGTAAAGATTTCCTTATATTTGGTTCATATATTTTAATAATTTAGTAAAGGTTTATAAATTTATGAATAAAAAATTTATTTTCATATTTATTTCTTTATAAATAAATTGGTAAATGCATAATATTTCATTGTATTAGTTTTAATTGTATTTGATTTTAGAATGTTGTATATTTAAAATTATTCTTGTAAATAAACAGTCTAATAAATAGTGTTTAATATTTTGGGTGTAAATTCTCAAGAACAAAAAAATGTATAAATTCACTTTTATCATATGTTTAAGTACAATTTTAATCATTTCTGTTTAAAAAAAAAAATAAGTAAACATTGCCGTTTTCTGAAGGTAAGGCGGCACATGATTGCCCAAGTTTTTCTTATGTAAATAAATAAGGTTGCCGATTGTCCTGCATCTGAGAAATTATGCATAAATGTTGTTTAATAAACACGTGACTTGGGCATGTGCAAAATCTTGCCTGCCAGCACCCACCTCCTTTTCCACAATCCCAATCACTCTAAATAAGATTTAATTCAGCTTTGTGTTGTCCAGACCAGTGGTTGCCAACCAGTGGACCATGAACCAATGGTGGTCCATGACAAATTTTTGATGGTGCACAGAAAAATTGGGACATTTCAATGTTCATGAAGGTTATGATTCAATAATGATAAGTAACAAAATGTATTACGTATGGTATATATGTTCAAGATCTTATGTAATCTCGAAATAAACATGAATACACAAGTACACAGATGTGACATCATCTAGTCATAATATGTGTGTGTGTGATGCGGCATTCACCCTGGGCGGATTGAGCCGGCTTCTTCCTGTTGTGAGAAGAAGATTCTTGGGATAAATTACAGAAGTAGGGTACCCAGGCCTATTCGGATAACGTTCTTGCTTCCCGCGGGGTTCCCACAGACGTAGAGACAGGAACGACCAGAAGCTGCTGGTTGCCGATGCAGACACTCCTTGGATTTTCACCAGAGCCGGCGTGTGTGTCAGACCTGTCTGCCTTGGGTGGCCCTACCAGGAACGAAGTTCCAGATGGCATAGTTCTGACACTACCGTTTACCACCACCCCCCCAGCCCCCCACCGACTGTGAGGTAAGGGTTGGACTTTGGGGTTTACAGTACCAGGTGTTCCCAAGCGGTCCCCCATCTAAGTACTGACCTGGATCTACGATGCTTAACTTCGGTGATCGAACGAGAACCGGTGTTTTCATCGTTATTTGACCGTAAGTCATAATATAATCTAACATGACTTGCAAACTTTAAATTTTGCATTTTTTTTTATTTAAATAATTACACTATATCTTTGTTACCTTTAATGGCTGCATTTCATATTAATACAATAAAAGTTTTCTGATTATATAAATGTTATTTACACTATTTACATTATTTGGACTATTGTCCTCATTTTTGTCACCATATTACAACGTTTCAACTGTTGTAAACCCTGGCCTTCTTCATGTGGTTGGAATGTTGAACCAAACCCTTTATTTCGCTCACTGGGGTAGACTGCTCTAGTTCCACGTGCCATGTTTAATGGATGTCAGTTATCTCCTGTTAATTCCTTTCTCCAAGTTCTCCACTGCCTTAACCGGGTATTGAACTCACACTCTTTGGGTCCTGTCACTGGATCTAACCAACACCTTTATCCTCAAGGACACATGGCATTGCGGGATCTTAACATACTTCATGTCAAATAATTATTTTATGTTGTTCATATCCCCACCACAAACGTTACCAAATGCAGGCATCTCAAAATTGGTAGAATGACAGAAATTTTTACTATGACAACCAAAATATCAACAACAATTTGAATAAATCAGTGTATAATGAATGTGATGGTGAAAAATGAACAACATTTTCTATGCACAACAATTTTTCGCACTCTCTCACCACCACAGGTTGCAGAATTATTGATTACATTTATATAACTGGCAATAGACTTATTAAAAAAAAAAAAAAAAGTTGGGATTACCCAGGTTTTAACAGTTAATTGCATCAGATTATATCTTAATCTAATTGTACTAACCTAGTTTTAGAAGAAGATAAAGAAAAACTATTTAAATGCCTTTCTTAGCCAACCAAGGTCATTGCTAGACATTAAATCTCAAGAGATTATCGACATAATCACCCCAAATTTCCATTGATTTATTTTTTTCAAAACTGGGTCAAAGGTATCAGACATACACTACAGTTCAAAAGTTTCAGGCCACCACTGGTAATTTTTTTAAATTGGCCCCAAAAGTAGTTGTTTTGTACTAAAATTATTCTACATGGTTAAAAAGTGATACCTGATTTTTTTTATTTATTAGAAATTTTATTATAACAAAAAGAAAGTATTTCATGATTAAATTTTTTGCTCTTTTTCAAAATATCCTCTTTTAACCTTGATTATTGCAGCACACATTTTTGTCATTTGTTGCAAAAGTTTTTCAAAATATAAATTTGATAATGGATTCCATTCTTTTTTTTTTTTTTTTAATGACTGATAGTTCTTTTTCATCCCTCCACTCCAACCACTCTCTTTCAAGTTTATCCCATGCTAATTTGGGGGGGGGCGACTTCAACCTTTTGAACTGTAGTGTAATTCATTCAGATTACTGGAACAATTTATGATAAAAGAGAAAATGAAAGCAGCATGACAGTTATTCACTTGGAAACTATAATTGGCGTCTACAGTTCAAATTCCAGCCACGTCTGTTGCATTCCCTTTCACACTAAAGTGAAAACGTGAAAAGCATGAATCCACCTTTTTATCCCATCTATAGGTTTGATTTGTTTTACAGCATTTCAATCTCAATGGGTTATTTAATGCCTACAAAATTTTTATTTCTGGTAATATTTTTTATCTATCTATCTATCTCAGTATATATTGGTTTGGTTTGGTTTGGTTTGGTTTGGTTTACAGCATATCAACCTCAATGCCGACAATTTTTATTGCTGGTAATATTTTTTTTTCAAAAATGTATTGCAAGTAATATTTTTTCCTTCAAAATCTATTTCTGGTAATATTTTTTCTTTGAAAATGCATAGCTGGTTATATTTTTTTTTTCAAAAATGCATTGCTTGTAATAATTTTTTTTACAAAATATTTCTGGTATTAAAACAGATTTTTACACTTTCTGGGGGTTAACCATCTGCCCATAGCTGGGATCCCAACAGGTGCCACCACTCCAGGTCAGGGTGGACCTAGGAACACCAGCAATTGAGAGGTGGTTCCACACTCCGCAAAACCTCCTGACCTTGCTGCTAGATGCAGCTCATTATCATACACAGGACGCGGATGTAGTTTATTGTCTTACCCAGGATGCCCAGCTATAGGTTAGCCTTGGCTGGAAACCAGTCTATGAGAAGGAAGTAGAAACAGCCCACTACACTTACTAATTCACAGATAATAAAGAAAAGGAATCAGTTGAGAAAAATGATTGCCTATATCCTGAAAGGACACAGCATTTAAAAAAACTCCATTCTGAGGGCATGAGAAGATATTACTTCACCTGGTGAAACTGAAAAGAGATGACATTCAATATGCTGATTGTAGAATGGTGTGTGCATTGACATCAAAAAGCACTGAAGAAGAAACAAGTTTTTGAAAGATGGAAACATTGATGTCATTGTATCTGTACTTGAAGTAAAAAAAAAAAAAAAAAAAAAAAAAAAGTTACTGCACCATACAATAGACAATAAAATTATAAAGAAAAACTACATAGGATATTTTTTTTATCTGTCTATATCTTTGAGATGATGTAATTATTTACACCATTTACATTGTTTAGGCTGTTGTCATATTTTCGTTGCCATATTCAATGTTTCACCTATTATATGCTTCAGCTTTCGTCAGGTGATTAGAATTTCAAACTGAACCCTTTATTTTGTCCACCGAGATAGATA